AGCTCAAGGCGAGCGCTCTACCACTTGAGCTACAGCGCCACTTCCGGTTTTCTGGTGGTTTATTGGAGATAGGAGTCTCACGGTCTCTCCTGCTCAGGCTGGCTTTGAACTGCGATCCTCAGATCTCAGCCTCCTGAGTAGCTAGGATTACAGGCGTGAGCCACCAGCGCCCGGTGCTGAATTTTTTTTTAACCTAGTGTTTAATACTGTCTTCTGTGTAGCATGGTATTCATAATGCAGTAACACTTTTTTACATCTGTATTGTAATGTCCTGTTCATTGTTTTTTTCATTAGATTGCTTAGATACAGGGATTTCTCTATTCAAGCTAGAATCTTTCCTTGGCCTTCAACAATATGATTTGTACATAGCGCCTTTTACTAAGTTTGCTTTGCAATTATGACAAGGTAGAAAGCACTAAAAACTGTTGTAAGCAAAATGATGTTTCTAGCTATGATTTTGCACGTACTCCTACCAAAAGAGTAATTTACTCCTTGAACTTGACTTCATGCTCAGAGCCAGTGGTTTGTGCCTACAACATTAGCTACTCAGAAGGCTGATCGTAGTTTAAACCAGCCTGGGCAGAAAAGTCTGAGAGACTCTTAAATCTACAATTAACCAGCAAAATGCCAGTCGAGGCATGGCTTAAGTTACCAAAGTGGCAGCCGTGATCAAGCAAGCCAAGTGAGAGGTCTGTCTGTGTCCTGAATTTAAATCCTGGTACTGGCAACAAATGCTTTCACTCAGAACTCCTTAACAGGCACTATACCTTTTAGACAATAATTGCTTTATGAATTAACCTAAAGGAGATTGATTAATCTGATTATAGTGAGTATAAGTAATTTTTGGAAGTTTGATTCATGCTACTTCTGTTGGGAAGGAATCATTTTGAGTGTCATTTATATGTATTTTTAAAAACCAGTAAGTTTGTTTTTGTATTTGGTTAAGAATCATTGTTCAAGTAAAAAGTTTTGACATCTAGGAAATTGTATTCATAAGTCAAACCAAAAGTTTTCTTTTTCATATTTTGTATCTATGTCTTAATTACTGACAAGTGCCTAGTAGTGGCTACAAGACTGAAATGTAACCTATATATACTTTTTGTTGCTTATATATTAATTATTTGATTATGTGGTTAAAAATTATTTTATATCATATGATTGGTTGCAAGTTCTCATTGTAACATGTAAAGTGTTATTAATGTGATTAACCTTATGTGTGACCCATTAAATTCATTGAGATCCACTGTAATATACTTCTCCTCATGTTTTTTTTTTTGACCAGTCCTGGGGCTTGAGCTATGGGCCTGGGCTCTTCCTTGACCCTCTTTGTGCTCAAGGCTAGCAGTCTACCACTTGAGCTACAGTCCCACTTCCAGCTTTTTCTGATTAGTTGATTGGAGATAAGAGTCTCAGACTCTCCTGCCCAGACTAGCTTCAAATCCCAATTCTCGTGAGCCAAGAGCATCCGGCTTCTCATTGTTCTAATTGCATTGTTCATTTTATAACATTTTTTCCCCATAGGGCAAAGATTTTCCCTTAAAAGAAATGTTTATTATTTTTGAGTTGTGAACTCTTTCAGGTAGAAGAAGGCTGGTGGAGTGGAGCCCTGAACAACAAGTTGGGTCTGTTTCCCTCTAACTTTGTGAGAGAGTTGGAAGTCACAGACGAGGGGGAAGCTCAGGAAGTCCAGGAGGATCCAGGTACAAGGGGCAGTTCTCCTATACAATTAAAAAGCTTTAGCAGAGGACCTCGCGTTTAGGCTTTAGTTTTTGAAATGGCATTATCTGCTTTTGACCATTCAGTGAAGCTTAAATGATGGTAAAAGTAAACGAAACGGCAGGGTCATAGGACATTTTTCTTTTTCTGAGCTCAAGCCTCAGGAAACAATTATTGTAAAAATATTGCTTATGGTAACTGATATGTCCATACCAAAGCTATATTTAAGTGCTCTTTTGAACTGCTGAGCTCACAAAGATGGTCTGATACTTAAAGAGATTCAAATTATTTTAGATATTAAATATGTATTTTCCATATATAATAGATTTATTTTTTCTGTGCAGTCAGATGCCAACAGGTTTTGATGGAATGTCATTTTCTACCACAATCCCAAAATCTGAAATTCTTTTGTTGTTGGATGAATTTTCTGGAATGATTTTCTTTCTTAGATTATAAGCATCTTTATAATAGTCTTAGCTTATTTTATTTTTCATCAAAAGATGCAAATTTGATATATTCTAGTCTATTTTATGTTGCTATAATAAAAATTGTGATATTGAGTATCTTACAAAGGAAGGAGACGAATTAAATGTACATAAAATTGTTACCACTTTCTATGACAGCAAAGACGAGTGCAAGGTGCCCCTTACTCTTACATACTTTACATATAATCACTTTTATAGCTTTTATTACTTTTATCCTGCCATTAAAAAATAGATAGAGTATCATAGAGAGCTTATGGAAAGGTATGTGAATTTAGATTTCGTGGTTCTGTGTGGTGTCATCCTTGAAACCCAAATGATTGTTTCAGACTTGGCTTTGCCTGGGTCTGCCTCCCCGTCAGCGGCTTCGGGAAGTGGGAGCGACACTGCGTCGGCACCGGTTACACAGCCCAAAAAAATTCGAGGTATTGGATTTGGTGATATTTTTAAAGAAGGCTCAGTGAAACTTAGAACAAGAACATCCACTGGTGAACCTGAAGAGAAAAAAACAGAAAAGATGGTAATGATGCACTTAATTTAGATGAACTTCCATCCGTTCTCTGATTTAGTTATTATTTTTTTAAGTACTAGGGTTTGATTGAGGGCCTTGGGTTTGCTGGGCAGGGGCTCTGGCTCTTGAGTCATGCTCCAAGTCTTTTCTACGTTCGTTGTTTTTGGAATAGAATTTTGTTTTTGGTTAGGAGTGGCTTGGTTCAGGATTGGTCTTGAATTGTAAGACCGCAGTCTGTACGTGCTAAAGAGCTCAGATTACAGCAGTAAGCCACTGTGTCGTGCTTGGATTCTTTCTTTTTTTAATTGGTTTTTCCCCTGTAGTCCAGTGTGGCCTGGAACTCTAGATCTCTGCCAGTATTCAACTGCTGGAGCTACAGGTGTGCTCCACCTTGCCCAGATCATGAAGCATTTTTTAAAATATAAATGTTAGGTACTCAGTTAAATTTCTGTTTTTGAATTCAATAATAATTGGTTTATGAAGGAGAAAAAGCTTGTGGGGAAGTTTTCTCTCTAAATTTACAATGATTACTTGAGTGTTTGTGTTTGAATCTTATAAAATTGGAATACTTATTTGTTAACTTTAACGTGAACTTTCTTTAGGAAAGCTTCAGGTTTTTTAGTTATAACAGTATAAAGATGAAGTTATTTTTCTTTTCTTTCCCCCCCCCCTTTTTAAACCAAGATTTGCTTCTCTTTTGAAGTGTACCTAAAAGAGGACTTTAAATGATTTCCCAACGCAATATTAATGACGGTTAGCTCCCTTCCTCTGGGTTGTTAACAATGACTAAATTTCCTAATCTCTCCTCTGAATGTATGGGCTTTTATTTTAAAGTAAAATGAAGTTTTACTTTTCATTAGCATTTTACTGGCATTTTACCTGGATCTAATGAGAGGCTTTAGTATAAACCCTTGAGGGTTTTCTTTTTTTGGGTCGGTCGTGGGGCCTGAACTCTGGGCATGAGCGGTGTCCCTGAGCCACCTTCCCAGCCCCATCCTTGAATTTTTGAAACTAAAAGTTTGAAAAAAAAACAAACTCTTTTTTTTTCCCCCACCAGGGAAAAATAGCTGCCCTTTCCATTTCTGTAAAAGTTTTTTTTTTTTTTTTTTTGTTGTTGTTCTAGTGTCAGTTGTTCAGAGATTGTATTCACTGTAGGCATTTGCTCTGACTTTAGGGGAATATTTCCCTATATTTGTCATTTGTAGGTCTTGATCTCTTTTGGGGTGGTGGGGTTAAATTTTGGTGCTTGAGCTTACTTGGCAAGCACTCCTATCACTGACCCTCACCAACAGCCCTCACTTTTCTCTGGCTATTTTTAACAGAAGTTCTTTTGCCATGGCTTGTGCCTGGGCATGATCCATCTGTTCGGTTTCTCTACCATGTCCAGCTCTCCTTCAGGAGTCTTGACTTCCTGCCTGGGTTAGCCTCAAAACTCGATCCTTTTAGTCTCAGACTCCCTAGTAGCTAGGATTATAGACATCAAGCACTGGTGTCCAGCTTTAACTCACAAAAGTTCAAAATATTTTAATACTTAGTAACTTTATGTCTTAGATAGTGATCAAATATAAGAAGTTTTTAATGTCTCCCCATCTCATTTTTACGGTTTATTGCTATTAAGTCTTTACTTTCTAGGTCAGACTTCATAGGTTTAGACCTGGGCTCTAAGACTAAATTGCTGCTGTTGTGAACAAGTTATATTAACTGCTAATCTATACAGAGAGTCACTTATTAGATACATGAAGTGCTTATGTTTTTAGAAATTCCCAAATTAAATTACAGTTGTATTATGAACATCAGAATGTTTATTTTTCTCAATGAGTTTTAAAAGTTCATAGCCATAAGTTATCACTTAAGGTCATTTGAACTTTTTATCTCTTTCATTGCTGACTTCAATTCTGTTTCTAACCTGATTGTAAGTATGCTTGGGGCAAACTGTAATGGGAAACTAACTGTATTGCTATTAACTAGGGTCATTTTCTCTTAACTAATAATAGCATCCTTTTCTGTTGTAGCCTTTAATCATACAGCCACAAGGACCCAAAACTCAAAGTGTGGAAATAACAAAAACAGACACCGAAGGTAAAATTAAAGGTAAGGCTGAGTGAAATACACTCCAAATGCATTATTAAAAGTGTTACATTGTACTGCATATCAGAATATGAGATTGCATGCATCGGGCAGGAAAAGATCTTGCCATTCTTTGTTCATTGATATAACCCTTTCAGATGGAATTGTGCCTTATACGTACATTAGACAAATACTTGAATGATTAAATTATTTAACATTGGCTATATGTTTTAAATATTAAAATATAGTTATTCATCAAGTTTATATATTGCTTTACACAAAATAGAAGCTTAATAAGTATTTGCTGAGTCAATTTTTATAATCCACTTTACTGTCTTTATTTTAGCTAAAGAATATTGTAGAACATTATTTGCCTATGAAGGTACTAATGAAGATGAACTTACTTTTAAAGAGGGTGAAATAATCCATTTGATCAGTAAGGTAAGGTAACTTTCAGTGACTCATTTAACTTATGAGATACTTTTCAAAGTTCACACATTATCTCCAGAATGTCATCTCTAGAGGAACTGGGACTTGGTCTTTGATTTGGGTTCTCAGAACCTTACACAGGGCTCCTATCTTCCATATTTGGATTTGAACTCAGGACCTTGTGCTTTCTATGCAGATGCTGTGTCACTTGCGCTGTTCTGCATGCTTGTTTTGCTTGGCTGTTTTTGAGATAGGATCTTGCTTCATGGTTATGCTGGCCTGGATATCAGTCCTCCTATTTGTTAATTTCTAAAGCTGATTAGTAAGTAATTTTTATTTTAAAGCATTGAGGGAAAAGATAACTGGAAATTCATACTTTTCTATCCTTTATCTAACTTTCATTTTTGGTGTTTTTTTTTGTTGTTGTTATTTTTGTTTTTTGTGCTGGTCCTGGAGCTTGAACTCAGCCTGGGCACTGTCCCTGAATTTTTTTGCTCAAGGTTAGTGCTCTACCACTTGTGCCACAGTTCCACTCCCAGTCAGTACTTTTGGTGCTTGGTTGTAGAAAAGAGTCTCAAGGGCTGTCCTGCTTGGGCTGGCTTTAAACCCTTGATCTCAGCCTCTTGAATTGCTGGAATACAGACGTGAGCCAACAGTGCCCAGCTCCTTTTTCTAATTTTTATCTTTATTTTTTCCTGAGAACCTTTTAGCCTTGTGGATGAAAGTTTAAAATTGATTCAATAAAAAAAAAGTTGAACTCATTTTTGTATAACAATTGCTAAAAGTACTATGTGGAGAATATTGTTCTTTATGAGAATCTTATGATCTGTTGATTTTTTTTTTTTCTTTCGTGGGGAGTGAAGCTATTTTATGAGCTCAGGTGGGAGCATTTGGAAAATCAGCAAAGTCAGAAGATGCCAGCCAGCTCTAGTGTCCTGCCCCCAACCTGTAGTCTCAAAAACTTTTATTTTTTTATTTTTTGGGTCCGGTCATGGGGCCTGAACTCTGGGCCTGGGCGCTGTCCCTCAGCTCTTCAGCTCAAGGCTAGTGCTCTACCACTTGAGCCACAGCACCGCTTCCGGCTTTTTTTCTTTTTGCATATGTGGTGCTGAGGAATCGAACCCAGGGCCTCATGCATGCAAGGCAAGCACTCTACCACTAAGCCACTTTCCCAGCCCGTCAAAAACTTTATTATAAAGGCATTTGAATTAGTTTTTTTTGTTTTTTTGGTTTTTTTTTTTGGGTCCGGTCGTGGGGCCTGAACTCTGGGCCTGGGCTCTGTCCCTTAGCTCTTCAGCTCAAGGCTAGCACTCTATCACTTGAGCCACAGCACCACTTCCGGCTTTTTTCTTTGTGTGGTGCTGAGAAATTGAACCCAGGGCCTCAGGCATGCAAGGCAAGCGCTCTACCACTGAGCCACCTTCCCAGCCCCTGAATTCGTTTTTTTATTGTAAACTTCTGTCCTTGAAAATTAACTGTTATTGCCGGGCACCGATGGCTCATGCCTGTATTCCTAGCTACTCAGGAGGCTTGAGGATCATGGTTCACAGCCAGCCCGAGCAGAAAAGTCCATGAGACTTTTATCTCTAATGAACCATTAGAAAACTGTAAGTGGCACCCAGGCCCAGAATTCAAGCTCCAGGACCAACAAAAAAAAAGTGAAGTAAAATAACTGTTACTGTTTTAATTATTGTTTTTAGGAGACTGGGGAACCTGGCTGGTGGAAGGGAGAACTCAATGGTAAAGAAGGAGTATTCCCAGACAATTTCGCTGTTCAAATAACTGAGCTGGATAAAGACTTTCCAGTAAGCTTTTGTTTCTAGTAGTAACAATGCTTTTTATGTGTTGACATTTTGTTTTGAAGGATAGTTTTTTACATTGCAATTGAGTAGTTTTTACAAAGGAGTTTCTTAAAATTATGTATTTATGTAAAAGGTATTTGAATTGTAGTAAAAGAATATAATAGATAAATGTAGAATGGGAGAGCTGAGTTTATAAAATAGAGTAGAAAACAGACAGTGGAAAGTAAGACAGACTGCCATATTTGATTTCTACCAGTGCAGAAGGTTTAACTGAAGGCTTATAAGAGGAAAACGAAGCTTTTGCTTTCACCTTTTGGAGGTTCTTAAGAAAAGTGAAAGCCAAGTATAGCATTGTTGCTCTTACTGTTGTGTTTTTCAATAACAAGGTGTCTTCTACTTGTTTTGTCACATATGCCATCATCTGTCCTCCAGCTGTGCAAAGGGGCAAATTGGTGGTTAGGAAAATTGAACCAGGGAGGGAGGCCAGGAGTGGGGAGGAACATTTTTCTCATTAAGATACCAGTTGTTAGTTTTTGAGGTATTTGACTAACTTTTGATCAAGGAGGCTGTTTGGAGGTGAGGCTATAGCTCAAGTGCTAGAGTATTTGTCTACCAGACACTCTGCAAGGTCTGGGTTCAATCCCAATCATTGTAACAAACAAGCAGTTCTAATGGGATAAAAAATTTTTTAATGACTTTCTGTTGAATTGTTACTGTCTTAGCAGTTGGTCATTTTGGCAATAATTAGATGGGGAAGAGATACTCATTTAATTTAGGCTACAATCAGAATTGTTTAAAGCAGTCACTTAGCATGTAACGTGTCAACATTTTCGCTGTTTTTCTAAAACAGAAACCAAAGAAACCACCACCTCCTACTAAGGGTCCAGGTATGTAAGACACACATTATCTACTTTGCTATTTTTCTTAGTTTTAGGTTCTAAACCAGTAAGATTGGGTTTAATGTAAACTATTAAGTTTTTATCAGCAAAAATAATACTATATATAAAAGTTTTTAGAACTATGGCAAAATCATGTTAACATGCATTACAGTAGTCCATTGTTATTATTTTTAAAAGCATAAATGGTATAAAACAGAATCCTAGCTGAATGTAATAGTGTATGCCTGTATTCACAGCTCTCAGAAGGCTAAGGCAAGATAGTGAGTTTTAAGGCTAGAACGGGTACATAGCATATTAAAGTTAAAATATAAACATTAAAATTGGGATTTTGACAATAGCCAGCATCTTAGTTATATGAAATATTGAATTAATAAAACTGACCAAGCTTAACTTTGTTTTAGAAAACTTAATAGATTGACCGGATGAGTCTTTCTGCCCACACCACCTTCTTTCTGTTGGGATAGAGCCCTGTGAAGTTTTGAGCCTCTCCCGTTATTGGAGTAATGAACTTATGCTACCTTGCCCAGCTGTTTTTGGTGAAGGGTCTTGAATTTCTTTTGCCCCACTGGCCTCAAACCATGAACCCTCCTCAGCTTCCTAAGTAGCTAGGATTACAAATTGTGAGCTGGTGTCCAGCTTATTATTTACGTTTTATAAGGTAATGTCTCTAAGCTTTAAAATTACCTTACAGTTTTCTTAAAATTACTCTCCCCAGCTCCAAAGCCTGACCTGATGTTTGCTGCAGAGAAGAAATTTTCTCCCCTAAAGCTTGAAGAAAAAGGTGAGACCGATCGATGTTCTCCCCCGTCTTCTCCCAAGCAATCCTTTTTTCCTTGTCATAAAAGGATGTCTCTGCAGTAACTCATTTGTACCAACTTCTCACAAGTGCCTGTGCTTTTTGAAATGTATAGTTTTCCTGGGAGGGAATATTTGGTCAAAATGGAATAGGAAGGAATTAAGCTTTTACTTCAAACTGATAGCAGTTCACATTGTTCAAAAATGTAACCTTTTTTTCCCCAGTAGATTGTATTAATCATAGTTATTTCAACTAATGTATAGGAAAACAAGCAGTAAATAACTGATTTATTATATATATAGTGTCCATTAAAATTTAACTGTTTAAATTTAAATTGGAAGTTTTCCAGCTTGACAGTAACTTTTTAAAAAGGAAAAACCTAAGTAGTTTATATTGTTGATAACTTGTTAAATGTTTTTTAATCATCAGATGAAAAATCACTTCTGGATCAGAAACCTATTAAACCAACTGCTCCACAGGTCCCACCCAAAAAGCCAACTCCACCTACCAAAGCCAATAATTTATTGAAATCTCCTGCAGCAGTGTACCCAAAGCGGCCCGAAAAACCGGTTCCTCCACCACCTCCCACAGCCAAGTGAGTTTTACCTAATTCTGAACTAGGCTGCTGACTTCCTGCCTTTGTTCTAGGTGGATGTGTTGCCTTTGTAAAGTAATTTTTTTGTTTTGCTATAGACTGTAGTCTGTTAAATTTAATCTTGTATTCACAATAAGCTGCATGCTCTGGAAACTGTTTAGACATTTCTGATGCTATTGTGGTCAGTCTTCTGACTGATATTTATGGAAATCATTTTACAGAACAGGTAGTAATCAGTGTTACCTTATAAATTTTTTTAATGCCCATAAGTTATAATTTTAAAAAGTTGTATTATATACTCAAATGATTTTTGTGTATGTTGTGTGTATTTCAGAATTAATGGAGAAGTTTCTATTTCATCAAAATTTGAAACTGAGCCAGTATCAAAACCAAAGCTGGATTCTGAACAGTTGCCACTTAGACCCAAATCAGTAGACTTTGATTCATTAATAGCACGGAGCTCTAGAGAAACAGGTAAGTCAGGCTGGACAAAGGTATTGCATTGAAAGAACTGGTCAGTATAGTGTTTACTGTTTTAAAGAGATTTGTAAATATTAGTTGTAAGAAGAAATACTGAGATTTTTTTTTTCTTTTTTAACTCAGTAACCAAAGTAGAAAAATATAACTTACAGGGCCAAATCTTTATTACTTAACTGGTCAGAGGTTTCTTATTGATCAGAAGACAGAAATGAGTAAGTTTCTATATTGGTCAGGAAACCTATCTTCCAGTGTTTTTGCAATGGGATGACCATTCTACCTAAATCAGACAGATATGAATATATTTTAGTTTTTAAAAGTTTGAAACTAAAGTGAGGTGCTAGCGCTCATGCCTGTCTTCTACCTATTCAGAAGTTGAGGTCCAGTGTATCACAATTCAAAGGCAGCCTGAGCGGAAATGTCTGTGAGATTCCAATTCCAAAATAACCAGCAGAAGCTGGGCTGGAGGCATGGTTTAAGAAGTAAAATATCAGCCAAGCAAGCTTGACACCCTGAGTTCATATCCCTGTACCAGCATCAATGCCAGCATTAGTTTATATTTGATAAAATTTTCTGAATTACTTTTTCTGAAGATTGTTCCAAATACAAGAGATTATGTTTTTAATGATTATATATCAGCAGGCTAATTTTGATAATTGTTTTTATTAAGGTTTAGGGATGACCTTTTCTTTTTAGCTTAATCTTGTCTGTACTTGGTTTTTTGTTGCAGCAGTGGCCTTCTGAGAAAGCCCTCCTAGTTAGAGGAGCATTACTTTGTGATAGTGATTATTTTATACAGTATTTTGCATTTGCTTAACTTTTTACATTTTTTTAAAAATTTAATTTAATTTTATTTGTGAACATACTGTACAGAGGGGTTACAATTACATGGGCAGGATAATGCGTACATTTCTTACCAAGCATTGCAGCCTCCTCCTTTGGTTTACCCTTCACATCCCTTCCCAGCCTCCCCCCTCCCCCACTTTTTACATTTTTTAAAAGTACTTTTTCATATATGTTCTCATTTTTATAGTAAATCAAGTAAACATGTTGTTTCCCCTTTTTAAAATCTAAACAGAGTAAGAAATAGATACATCACATATTCCTAATTGTATAAATCAAGAGTGCTTTAAATAACTTTTTTAGCTTTAGTGCTAACACTTTATATTTCCACTTTAACTTTTTTCCATCTTTTGTCAATGCAAAGAATCTAAAGTATGGTAGTTTTTTAGTCTTTTGATTTAACCTTTTATAAATCCTTTTGTTAGGTCTCTAGTAATGGGTAATATCAGATTCACACTGATTTCTGGGAAGTAAAATGTTGGCAATTCAGAGAAATTCACCAAAATTAGTGTTATTTGGTAGAACTCTATGATTTCAAAAATAATTCTATATTCTTTTGTTAAAGAGATGAGTAAAAAAACAAGGTTTCTTTTTAAATTCAAAATTAGCTAGGAATGTGTTTTTCGGGTTAGTTTGAGCCAAACTTTGCACAATTTTATCTGTAGAAAAATTAAAGCTTAAAAGTTTTCATACCTTGAGTCTAGCACAAAAAGTGTTAGTGAGGACCATATACCAGCCAGCTCATTCTGGCATGTATATGAATACACGTAGTGTGTGAAGTTTGCAAAAGCTGGGTACTATTGGCTCTTTTTGATGGAGTCCCTTGGGGAATTGAAGAAACAGTACTTAAATTCAGAGTATGTATTTGTAGGTCATTTTGTATCATTCTCGAATAATCGCTTTATGTAGTTTGCTTCAGAGTAAGGAACATTTGAAAGTACTTTATGTAAAATGCATCTCACTTTTTTCCTGTACCATTTCTGCACTCACCAACAAGCTGCCCCTTGCAGTCAACATTGCAGTAGTGGAATCTGTTCCTGGTGGTTGGAAAGTTTTATATTTTTGGGGAGTCTTGTTTTTCTCCTGTATACACAGTGGCTATATATGTTTCATATAAATAAAGAGACTTGGTTGACAGAGTTTGTAACTCACTGTTGGTTTTTCCTTATATAAAAGAGATTCTAAACTTGTACAAGCCAGAAAATTCACAGCTAACTTCCAGATAACTGTGTCTTATTTCTTGCACTTACTTTGGCTAACTGTGGTAAACCACACTTACATACTATAAAGCTCAGAATATTTTTTTTTTTTTTTTTGGTCCAGTTGTGGGGCCTGAACTCTGGGCCTGGGCGCTGTCCCTCAGCTCTTCAGCTCAAGGCTAGCGCTCTACCACTTGAGCTACCGCGCCACTTCTGGCCTTTTTTCTTTTTGCTTATGTGGTGCTGAGGAATCGAACCCAGGGCCTCAGATATGCAAGGCAAGAACTCTACCACTGAGCCATCTTCCCAGCCCAAGCTCAGAATATTTTGAAGATGGAGTTAAGTAAATATTTGGTGAGCATGGTGAGCAGCTGCTGTGTCCACAGTAGTATTTTAGACCTAGGTAGTGTGTTTTATCTCAATAACAGGAATAGTTGCCAGGAGCAAAATGTATATGTCCCAAACATGATTCAGAGGTATCCCTGTGTCTTTTTTCAGTAAATGATTAGCTTATACCTTGTACCAAATGATTATTCTGTATCAGTAGTACCCTTCACTAGAAATAAGTATTTCAGCGTTTGGCAAAAGGGGTAGGTAGATGGGTAGAATTGGAGTTTGAACTCAAGGCCTTGCGCTTGTTAGGCGAGTGCTCTACAGCTTGAGCCATGCCTCTTTCCTGATTGTTTTGGCATGTATGTACGTATGGATGTCTTTATTTTTTTCTCATACAGGATGGCCAGCCTCAGGCTGAGACACTCATCTCTTCCTGCATAGTTGGGACTATATACATGCCATGTTCTTTGAAATAGGGTCTTGCTAACCTTTGCCCAGACCAGCCTTGGCGGTCATCTATACGCCTGCCCTCCAGAGGCCTGTGATTACAGGTGTGAGCCAGAGCAGCCAGCCCGAATTTCAGACTTTCCCCAGTATTGACATTAATTCAGTGAGCTGTGTTTGAGATAGGATCCAAGATTAAGCATGAGATTTGTTTGTGTCATGTACTCTACACCCACAGCTTCAAGAGAATTTCATGTAGTACTTTTCATCTGTCCTTATTTTGACTGCCTTAACCCCATTACCTGAGGTCAAGGGTCAAGTGTGGAATCAGGCTAGCACTCAAACTATTGGATCATTTTTTAATTTCATATGTGCAGACTAAGAATGTTCTACCTGGGCTGGGAAGGTGGCTCAGTGGTAGAGCGCTTGCCTTGCATGCATGAGGTCCTGGGTTTGATTCCTCAGCACCACATAAGAAAAAAGCCGGAAGTGGCGCTGTGGCTCAAGTGGTAGAGCGCTAGCCTTGAGCTGAGGGACAGCGCCCAAGCCCAGAGTTCAGGCCCCACGACCGGACCCCCCCCCCCAAAAAAAAAGAATGTTCTACCTGTACTTGTAAAGATATTAATTATTCCTTGTTCATGAGCTATATTTGTCACTAAAAAGTACTTTATGTGTGTCAGGTTTAGGCACAGTTTATCAGTCGCTAAAAACCGTGGTATGTGCCTCAGGTTCTGGCTTACTTGAAGTTGCACATTTGTGAAATTAGCCTTTACATTTTAGAAAATAAAAAGTGTATGGAAGTCTTTATTCAGTTCCATTATTAGGTGAAGTAATATTGAGCTGATTTACAGTAAAAAGTATACTGACTGCTGTTAAAAATGGAGGTTTAACAAATAGGTTAGTTTCTTCTCCAGATCTCTCTTGTGATAATTTGGTTTATCCCACCTACTAGAAAATGGGGCATTGAAGTTCTGATGAGTGATGTTTCTCTTCCACCCCCCCTCAAGTTAGATCCATCTCATTCTATTAAATATCTATGAAAGATAGGAATTTGACTTGATGTCTCACATTTTCTTTTTATCAGCTTATATACATATTCATGTATGTGTGTGAGATAATTATATGTACACACACACACACATTCTGGCTTTTGTACATATGAGCCATCCCTAGAAAATGGTTTCCTGTTTCCGTACAGAAGGCAGGACATGACTAAGCCCCCTATGGCCTGTAACACAGTGGTGTACTGAAGAGCTCCTAGGAACCATGTTTTAATTTTTTTTTCTCCTTTTCAAACACTTCATCAAAAATGGCCTTTAGGGAAAATGTCACTGGCATTACAGTTACTTATGAAGTTCTAAGTAGTGAAGTTCCTGAGAAGTAAAATTATTTTTGAAATTAATTTGAAAACACTGAACAGAAAATTTAGGATAAACATAGCTATTATATTGAGGAAGCTCAAGCAGTTAAGGTACTGTTAGAGAGTAGTATGTTATTTCCTTTGATTTGATTGGTATTTTTCTTTTATAAATTCTAAGATTCAAAGCAAACTTTGGGGGGGGGGAATGGATTATTTGATCCTAAAACAGTCATACTGAACAAGGAAATTCCAATTTTATTTTAAGGTTGGCCTATTTTTGTTCGAATAGCTTTCTCAGTATTTACTCTGGAATTTATGATGAGATTTTCCTGATGTTTCCTTTTGAGTAATAGACTTTATTTACTCACTGACTTTGGGCTGGAGCTGGGGTTTGAACTCAGGGACTAGGGGCTGTCCCTTAGCCTTTTCACTTTAGGCTAGTGCTCTCTGACTTGAGTCACAGGTCTACTTCTAGCTTTTTTAGTCTCACAGACTTTCCTCCCCAGGCTGGCTTTGAAACACAATCCACAGATTTCAGCTCTCCTGAATAGCTGAGATTCCAGGCTTGAGCCACTGGTGCCTGGCTTTGAGTCCAAGACATTATAAAAAATGATCTTGTGTCTGAACTAGGATTCAAAAGTTTTCATAGTAGTTTTCTTAATCGAATTATGGAGTATCATCACATAAGGCATTAATGAATAAACATGCACGAAATATTTTAAAGATGATATTGAGTTAATTTTTTGTAGTGAGATATATTAAAGTACTATTAGGCAATATATTTCTGTTTTACGATACGTGAGGTAAAAAGTGCTTCTTAATTGTAATTACTGTAGTGTACCAAAGACAAGTAGTTGACTAAAAGGGGATTTAATTTTAGTAACAGCTATAAGATAATAAAATACTGCTGTAAAAGCCGGAAGTGGCGCTGTAGCTCAAGTGGTAGAGCGCTAGCCTTGAGCTGAAGAGCTGAGGGACAGTGCCCAGGCCCAGAGTTCAGGCCCCACAACTGGACTGAAAAAGAAAAAAAAAAAAAGAAAGAAAATACTGCTGTATAACTTTGACCTCTTAATGTGCTAAGCTATCCTTTCAGAAATTGTCTTCTTCATTTAGAAATTAATAAAAAGGCTTATTACATTAGCTTAGTCTGTATTGAAATACTAATTTTAAAACTTTTTCTCTTGAAAGACAAAGGAGAAAGTCTGAAATCAAATACATACCTCATATATGTTCGGAAAACCTGCAATGACTGTCATATGCTGTGCTAAACATTGAAATGCTTCTGTTCATTCTACAAACTGTTCCTTTTTCCTGCTTTGTAAAATAATTTTTTTGGTTTAGTCTTTTTTCTAGACATTCCTATCCTTGACTTTTCTTTCCAGATTTTGTTTCCTAGCCTGTTTGCCATGTTTCCCTTCTTACGTGTCAGGAAATTATCCTACCCTTCTCCATTTTGGTAAGATAACAATTTATAAAAGAAATCAAAATAGTATATTTAGTAGATAGGTGGTGCACATTTATTTTTTTTTCTTTGTAATTTTACTCAAAGTGTACATGTTTGTTTGTCAATTCTAATCCTTTTGGTTTTCCATTTTAAAATAAAATAAAATTCATTTTGGAAAAATGGTCTTGATTTTTAATTTAAAATATTCCTTTAAAAAAGAACTTTAAAGAATGTTGACAACTTAAAAGAAAAAAATCATCTTATTTTCTTCCCAAATTGGCTGTTTCATTTGGCTGTTAGAAACTTGCACATCTTTCCAGCAACATGCAGCGGTGTAAGCGGCTGGGAGTGTGACACTGCCAGAGTTGAGGGTGAGACCATTGGCATCACGTGAATCCAGATTGCACACTGTGCGTCTAACTCACGTGATAGTTTGCCAGAGTTGAGGGTTAGACCATTGGCGTCCCAGTGAATCCAGAGTGCACACTGCGTCTAACTCACGTGATAGTTTCAAGTGGAGAGCCTGAATGGTTCACTTGTCTTTTTGTTGTAGACCAAAATAGGATGTATGGAAGGTATTTCACATGAACATGGATCATTTACCCTTTCAGTTTCATTTCTCTTCATTTCTCTCATGTTTTTTGGTTTGTTTCTTTTTCTTCCTGCATGTTGCTTAAATATGCATTTGAAAATAATCTCTGTAGGCCAAATTGATTGTATTTTAATGTTGGAAGTTTTTCTGTATGTTGTCAATAAGAATCTATTACTATAAAAGGGTATTTTTTTTACCCTTTAAGCTTAATGTGTTCTTTAACCTACTTTTTAAGAATATCAATTATTTTCTTGCTAGCTAATTGAATTTTGTTTTAAAAATAGAATATTTTAAATATCAAACCTTTTCAGTTATATAATGCATTTTTTACTGTATAATGATTTCTAACTATAGTTTGTTATTATTGACATTTATAAGACAAAAAATATTGAAACAAGCTTCTGATATATTAGTTTGGTGACTTTGTCCCAGATGGAACATGGAAAGTAACCTGTGGAAACAGATAACAATAGTCAACCAGTACTTGCAGTTGTAAAATGCTTATTTCCAAGTAGTAATGCCCCTTTTCTGCCTTACCTGTGTTTTTATCTCTTAGAATTCCATAAAGTCTATAAATTACTTTGAACATGAAATTTGATGAATAAACATTGAAGGTGATAATGACAACTGTCGTTTTAAAGAAACAAATATCTGAGTGTTGGTAGTATAACTGCCTAGGAATCTGATGATGTCCAAAATGAATACAGTGCTAGCTAGATAAGAATACGTGCTACTGCGTAGAACATTGTGGCTGGCTGTGGTTATTTCTAGTTTGGAATCTGGGCTACAGGAAGGTCAGCAGAAAGATCAGCAGATTGCCAAGAGGATTTTTCTATCATACATGAGTACTGGGGCTTCAGAGTTACAGAAACTTCTTAAGTGAGGTTTTCTTGCCTATCTAGAAAAACTCAAGGTAATTACATAGCACTTGTTTCAAAGTGTGAGTTAACTTAGATTTGTCTAGAATCTACTGGGCCAAAGGTCAGTTAGTCCTTGCTGGTGAGGAATCCAGTTCATGAGCTATGCAGCATTTTTCCTGGTGTCTCTTCAATCAGAGACACAGAGAACTCTAAAGACAAGTTTGAGTCCCAACAGTAACACTGGAAGGACGTATATATGAAGGTACATCATGCCTTTGCTTTGTATAGCTAGTAGAGATGGAAATAGTGCGGTGCTGGATACAGATGGATCTTGAAAATTCGAATGCTAGTCCACTAGTTGACATTTGAAACACATTTAATATGTAAAATTTGTGATGTGCTGTGATTAATCAGCATTTAAATGGACTGTATTAATAAGTAAGACCTTTAATAAGATAATAGCTTTTTATGCTCCAATTTATGATACAGATTTATCTTTCCCTAAGAGCTTTCTGTTGAGGTCTAAATCTGTATTGGAAACAACCATTGTTGTTAATAAAAATATTACACCGTAAAATATACTAGCTAGAGAGCATGCTTGTGGTTTAAAGGGTAAGTGTCTTCCAAATGCAGTATATAAAGCATAGATCAACTTGTGAGCTTTCAAATTAGTCGTGCTCTTTTTAATTTATAGTTTAATAACAAAAAAACACTGCTTTCTAAGAGGTTATCTCAATAGATAATGTTAATTTCTATTCTCTAGATGTTGTAAATTTTGATGACATACCTTCCTCAGAAAACTTGCTGCATCTCACTGCAAATAGACCGAAGATGCCAGGGAGAAGGCTGCCTGGCCGCTTCAATGGTGGACATTCGGTGAGTCGTACGTCGTTCTTATTACAGGAAAATACAGATGCTTTAGGTGACCCGGAGTCCATTTGTAGATGCGAATGAGGAGGGCTTATTACTGCACCAGAGTTTACAAGTCAGGAAGATAACTGTAGGCCAAGAGACATTCTGTCATTTAAGAAAATACAGAAAAAGAACTAAGTTTAATTGTGGAATCAAAAGTAAGGATGAGACATACATAGAGAAATGTGAGACCCATAATCACAGAGCACAGGGCCAACAGGGAATATGGGACTTGTTTAATCTATCTGTGGTTAGAATTACATACTAGCTGCTCATTTTAAGAAAGACTTTTTTTTGGCCAGTCCTGGGGCTTGAACTCAGGGCTTGGGCACCGTCCTTAAACCTCTTTTACTCAAGGCCTAGCACCCTGCCACTTGAGCCACTACACCACTCCTGGCCTTTTCTGTATATGTGGTACTGAGGACAAACCCAGGGCTTCATGCATGGTAGGCAAGCACTCTACCACTAAGCCAGCCCTTAAGACTTTTTTCTTAGTGGGATATTTGTTGTTTTTGTACTTGTCCTGGTATCTAAGTAGCTCTTTTAAAAGAAACAAAAGTTATTTGCTGCCTGGAATATAGGCCATACTTTAAGTTGATATATTTACTTAAGCATTGTTGTGTCTTTAAATAGCCTGGGTAAATGGTTTTTTAATAATTACTGTAAGGTAGTCTGCTTTTGCACTCAAGATACATGAAACTATGTAGCATCCAGATAACATCAGTGGCAGAAGTGCATCCAGTGTGAAACTATAGCACCCAGCTAACATCAGTGGGATATCAGAAATAGAAATGGCAGAAGTGTAATGTTTCTTTCATTACCTAGTTGCTACTGTTTTCTTCTTTAATCTGTTCTGTGTCTTGATTTACCAAAAAAAAAAAAATCAGCCAACTCAAAGCCCAGAAAAAATCTTGAAGTTGCCAAAAGAAGAAGATAGTGCCAATTTTAAACCATCTGAGTTTAAAAAGGACACAAGCTATTCCACAAAGGTGAGATGCATTGGAGTCTAAGATTTACATATTTCATAGAATTCTTTGTGAACATCAGTATTACAGAATTTAAAGTATTCCCTTAAGAAGAATTATTCTCAGAAATAAAGTAATTCCTGCTGAAAACTGATTTGTTAACTGGTCGCATGACTCTCTTCAAGTGTTTTTAATAGAGCCTGCTATTTTAAATGAGTATTCAGTATTTCATATTTTAAGGCATAAATCTATACATTTCTCTTTAAATGTTCTTGCTAAGCATATACTCTGAAATTAGGTCACATAAAATAATTTTCACTTAACCACTTATGAGGGATAAGAAGTCAGGAGGTAATTACTTGTTTTGCATTTTATGTAGCTTGGCTCTTACCTTGCTTAGAACTAAGTACGTACTGGAATGAGCCAGAATACATGGATCTCTCTGTTATATGATTTTAATGTCTTTGTTAAACACGTATCATTTTTTTAATTTTTATATAACTAGCACATCTACTCATGTATATGTGTCTAATTATTCTTTAGTTCCATAGCTTGGTTCATTTTACTACTACAATGTATCAAAGATATTTAATCTGATTCTGTAAACTGTTAGCAGACTACTGAAATTTACTAACATGACAGTCAAATTTTAGAAGAATTAGGATATGGACTTAGGATCAATGAGCTTACAAATATTTTTATAATTACTTACATGTGAAGCTCTTTGGACATTCTAAGCCATGTTTTTATTAATAGGAAATCAAGAAAACACCTTAATATTGCTAAGACATTCTTGCTTGTAGATGTTCCACTATGAAATCTGTCCATATGGAAATCTGATGGGTTAAAAAATAAATAAAATATTAGCGTTTTCCATAATAACCACCAGTGATTGCGAGTTTAGTTGTCTGGTGGTTTTGTCAGGGATGAACTTTAAAATGTCCTTTGAATTTTCATATTTGCCAGTTATCTTCCAAGTGTGGGTTGACTATCCATTATACAAATACTTAGAGTAGAAAGTGTTTGATATTTCATGGTTTTGTTTGTTAATGTTGGAACATTTATCTGTATGAGTTGAAGCATCTTGTGAACGAGACTTGAGAAAGCATGAAATTTGTTTCATGTTTACGTGAAACAAATGTAGTATGCCTACATTTTGACTACAAACCCATACTTGTGGTCCAGTGTAAAATTTTCAGATTTGGAATGGTTAGTCTGTTTAGATTGTTTTATGTCCTTGTTATAAAATTTTTTTGAACTTAAGTATAAAAAATTATAAATAAAAATAGGAAAAACAATCCTTTTATTATGCTTCCAGCCATCTCCAACACTTTCAAGTGCATCTAAGGCCACTACAACTGCTTTCCTAACTCCATTAGAAATCAAAGCAAAACTAGAAGCAGATGATGGGAATCAAAATTCCTTGGATGAACTTAGAGCCCAGATTATTGAGTTGCTGTGTCTTGTGGAGGCACTGAAAAGGGATCATGGGTAAGCCGTCCGTGTTTTCTCCTGGGAGTACTGCTTTACACAGACTTCTCAACCTTGACCCACAAAAGAGCTAGTAGTCTGACCAGTCTGCAGAGTCAGCAGGGTCTCATTGAAATTGCCAACTGTAGTTCTTTGGGTTTAAAAAGCAACTTGAATAGAAAAACTTATTCTAGTAGCTCAATTTTTTAGAAAAGACACCTTATATATGTTTATGTTTAGGCTAGAAATACGCATGTGCACGCGCGCACACACGCACATACACACACAAACACACACATATGTGTTTAGGCTAGAAATCTGGTCAGACGCAGTGTTTTAATTATGCTTGAAAAGAACAAGTAAACCATATTGTGTTTTAGATATAGCATGTATCTAAAATGTATCAGAGGACTTATTTCTGCTGCTAGTAAGTTAATATTTACAAAATGGATGCATTGTGATAGGTGCTCGCTAATGGCCTTCTCAGCTCTGAGTCTATCACTTATCTATGCTCAGTACCAAACCCAGATCTTTGTTCATGCTCAACAAGTGCTGAACCACTGAGCTACACTCCCAACTTTGAAAATATTTGAAATTTTTGATTTATATATATTTTTCTAGTCCCAGGGTGTTAGTTTGGTCTCATGTTAGCTTAATTTGCTTGTTCATGGCTTGGTTCTCTCCAGTTCTACTTTTTGCTAGTTAGTTGGATGAGTCTCCAAGAATGAAATTTTTCCAGACTGGCTTTGAATTGCAATTTTCTTGTTTTGGTCGGTCGTGGGACTTGAACTCTGGGCCTGAGCACTGTCCCTGCGCTCTTCAGCTCAAGGCGAGCGCTCTACCACTTGAGCCACAGCGCCACTTCTGTGAATTGCAGTTTTCTTATAGCTAGAATTATAGGCATGAACCACTGTCACTTGGCATTCCACGCCCCCCCCTTTTTTTTTCCCTGTCTTGGGGCTTTAACTCAGCCTGGATACTATCCCTGAACCTCTTTATGTTCAATGCTAGTACTGTTCTATTTGAGCCACAGTGCCACCTCTGGCCTTTTCTAAGTAGTTTATTAGAGATAAGAGTATCATGGACTTTGCTGCTGGCTTCAAACAGCCATCCTCAGATCTCAGTCTCCTGAGTAGCTAGGATTATAGGCATGAGCCACCGGCGCCCATCCTAGAGCTTGAACTTGTCTCTGAGTCTCTTTGGGCTCAAGGTTAGTGCTCTACCCCTTAAGCGATAATGCTATTTCTGGCTTTTTTTTGAGTAGTTCATTGGAGAGAAGAGTCTCACAGACTTTTCCTGCCTTGTCTGGCTTCAAACCATGATCCTCAGATCTCAGCCTCCCAAGTTGCTAGGATTATAGCTGTGAGCCACCAGTGCCTGGCTTTCCTTTGTTTTTTAAATGAAGAAATGTGTTCAGAAAGATAAAAGCTGCTGTATGATTACACAGTATTTGAATTTCAAACCTTGTTCCATTGTAAGCTTAATCCTGGAAAAGTAGGCGAAACATCAAAGAGAAGCTAAGTGACAGAAGCTAAGAGTGTTCACCCGGTCATGTCAGCTCCCATCGAAGAGGGTTGCTTGGAATATAGTACAGAGTTCACTTCCAGGGCCATGTTACCTTGAGCCAGTAATGACCATTTTTCTCTCAATTTTCAGTTGGCCTAGGATTCCTTATGAATAACAATATTGAGATTAGCAATGTAAGGTACCAGTAGTTTGTAGAACAATTTTAGTATCTCTTAGATGGAGAAAATAACTTATATAGCTTAAAAATATGCTTTATAACGTTCATACAATACAGAATTTCTTGGATAGTTTGTTGGAATTTTAGTTGTGAATTTTAACTCACATTAGAGCTGTGAGTTATTCCTACATAAATACTGAGTACAACATACCAATTCTGATTTTTGAATTTTGTTATTTTTATCCTTTTGATACCAAGTGTACTAGTTTTAATGAAGCACTAATTAAACCCACAGATTTGCTTATAGATGCTCTTAAATTAGTGATGGAGTGAAAACAATTTTTCTGATTTTATATATACTTTGAAGTGTATGTTATGCATTTCAGAAGTCTTTATTTTCAGCACTTCAGAGTTCCTCTGGAAAAACTGGAGGGAATTTTTTTTTTAATCCATTAGAGAAGAGGATCAGCAGGAAAGTGGGGAGGGCCATACTGGTGTATTAGTAGAGTAATGTGTGCAGTAAAAGTACATGATTTGTGGTGGGTATCTGCAGCCGTGGGAATTAATCTAAAAATGAGGGGTGAGAGCAAATTATACATACATATGTGCATTCATGCATACATGTGTATACATGTAACATTTTACTTAGTGAAAGTTAAAAGTGAGTAATAATTGCTATAGAACATTTCCAGTGAAAGAGAAGAGCAGATGGACTTGAGAACATCACTTTGGCAGTCCACAGCATGTGTGCTGACTTGGAGTTCTCGTTTAATTTAAGGATTTAATAGTAATGCTTTGTTTTCAGGAAAGAACTGGAAAAACTACGAAAAGAGTTAGAAGAAGAGAAGACAATGAGGAGTAATCTGGAGGTAATTTATCTCTCCCATTATTGAGATTTTATTTATTTATTTATTTTGGGTCCGGTCGTGGGGCCTGAACTCTGGGCCTGGGCGCTGTCCCTCAGCTCTTCAGCTCAAGGCTAGCACTCTACCACTTGAGCCACAGTGCCACTTCCGGCTTTTTTCTTTTTGCTTATGTGGTGCTGAGGAATCGAACCCAGGGCCTCAGGCATGCAAGGCAAGTGCTCTACCACTGAGCCGCCTTCCCAGCCCCTATTGAGATTTTAAACAGCATAAACTGGTCGTACTCTTTGCGTATGTGATTGATTATTGAGATTTTAAACAGCATAAACTGGTCGTACTCTTTGCGTATGTGGTTGATTCTGCTGCCCTTCCATCAGATGCGCTCTGTTCCATGTTGCCGTTGTATGTCTCTTGTTGACTGCTGTGTTCTGTTTATGCATGCATTTTTTCTGCTCACTAAAATTGGTATACACCTTTGGACTAAAGATACTTCTAATACATCAGGTGGATGATTTAAAGGTATTTTCTTTTGATCCAGGCTAAAGACTGAGGCTTGATCCAAACCAATGCTGCTGTAATATTTAACTAGTAATAATATAATTTACTTATATAATAAGTATAGTTATGTATAAAGTAATACTGTCTGGAAAGAACCTGAAATTAATAAGCCATTCTTGGATGGTTAGAATTCTTTAGGTGATTGAGCATATGACAATTACAGTGGCACGGTCCTCATCGTTTAATAGTGAGCTATTGTTAGGCAATGAAAGCATATGTATCCTTTATGTAGAAGGAGAAGAAGGAGAAAAGCTGTCGGGAAAAAGCAAGGCTTTCAGTATTTCCACAGGACGTGAGGGGCCCAAGATGCTCAGGAGTTCAGCTGTGGGCTTCACAGCCTCTGACCTTGTCTTAATTCCCATGTCTGTTCCTACAATGGAAATGGACTCGAAGATTTAAAGCTTTCTACAGGCACTGTGAAAATTTCTTTCAGAAGTTCTGTAAGGTGTTCACATCTCCTCCTACTTGTCCACACATTGAATCTTCATAGAAAATTAATTTCACAATACTGTTTACAGATGAGAAACTGAAATCAAGTAATTTACTTACATCACATAGTAAAAAATGTAAAACAGTTCTTCTTACTGTTTACCCAGATCTCTTATTTGATTACACATATGTATATTTCAAATATGTTTGTATTCAAAAGGTCCTTTTACTTTTTGGAGGCCTGATTTTCTTGCAGTTTTCATTTCAGAAGCTCACATTAACATTACTGTGGTTGAAAGAATGACATTTAGGAACTAACATTGTGACATCTTCTCCATGACCTTTATTTACCACTTTTTTATGCACCGTGGAAGATTACATTTTAATGTTTAAATCCAAGTACAGAGGCTTGAGAGTATGACCATGTTAATGACACACAAATACACCAAGAAGCTTCACAAAAGAAAGGGCATTTTATGTCACCCGATTTATGTTTACATTTTAGGTGGAAATAGAAAAGCTGAAAAAGGCTGTCCTGTCTTCGTGAGGCAGCAGGGACCCAGTGTTCTTCGTGCTCCAGGAGTCAGAAACAACCCAGAGCATCTCTCCTGGCTTCTTAGTTGTGGTGAAGAAACACAAGTGTATGAACTATAATATCTCTTGAAAAATTAGGGAGACGGTGAAAGGTTTTCTTTTTATATATATATATATATATATTTTGTTTTGCCAATATATATAAAAAAAAAGAGGCCTTATTTCTTACTGCGCTGGGATTGCAAACATTTTGTTGTCGTTTGCCTGAAAATACTACTGAATCTGTATAAAAAGGAAAGTTAACAATAGTTTTTAAAATTGAAATTGTAGTATTATTTTTAAAGAGATCTATACTATAAATATGGTGGTATCTTTACAAGTAACCTGTAAGATAAACTATTTGAGAGGGACAAATTAGCTTTGTAGTTTCCTCAGTCACTACTTCCCCGAGTGTAAAAGACAAATAAGCTTTGTGTATGTACATATATACATATATATATATAAATATATAAATATATTTTTACTTTTAGCTTCTTACCCAGGATTACACTGTTGTGCCTGTTTGTCTGCAGTGCTGTTTATATTTTGGGTGATGAAATAAGAGTTTCCTAGATAGAAACCAGATTGCTCACCCATGCATTCAGTAATAAATAATAAAAATCATTCAACTTTTAGAGTGTTTATATTGCTTGCACTATAGGACTCATAAGAGGAATTTAATTAAAATGGATTATTAAGCATTTGGGGAAATAGGAGCTTTATTTTAAACTCGTGAGGTCTAAGGAAACTAAAATGTCAGTTCTCAATTTGTGCCTAGAAACTACAGCACATAGGAAGTACACCAACACCAGCCCTATTGCTGTACCTTTTGGTTTGTTTCACAGACTGAAATACTGCTTATTTTATTATATTGTGATTTTATTCTCCATGCTCCTCCCTCTAATTTTTATGATAATAAATATTAGGAAAAGAAAACCCAAATCTTGTCACAAATTCAAAGTGAGGATTCCTATTCAGACAAGTTACTATAGTGTAAATACTCAGGTTTTCAGTGAATCATGCAATTAACCAGATGGACTCATGGAGATGCTTTGGACTGTTGTTTTGATAACAGAATTTAGACAAAGTGTTACTATCACATAAAAATAAAATATTGCAGCTTATTTAAACCAAATCCAGTTGGCCATATTATAGTACATTTTCATAGAATGGATGTTAGCCGTTTTGTCGGTCACATGAACAGTTGAACATTTTAAGTTAGAGATGATTTGTCTGAAAGCACAGATGGGTTTATTTGAAATTAAAGAAATGAATTTTGTTTGTAAAATTAGGTTTTAAGCTTTACTGTAGCAAATGAGTATAAGATACTGAGTACTGGCTATTAGTTTGTTTATTTGTTTTAAACAACTAGACCAATATTTTTCCTTTTACATTTTTTAAATCATAAAATAAAATATTGACTACGCATCTGGGGCTCCTGCCTGTTGTCCTAGCTACTCAGGAAGCTGAGATCTGAGGATCGTGGTTTAAAGCCAGCCCGGGCAGGAACCTCGTGAGACTCTTACCTCCCAATTAACCACCAGAAAAACTGGAAATGCAGATCAAGTGGTAGAGATAGCTTTGAGCAAAGCAGCTCAGGGACAGTGCCCAGGCTCTTGACTGAGTTTAAGCCTTAGAACCAGCACACAAAACCCAACAACCACAAATTTTGTGAAAATTAAATTTTGTCATGTGTTTTCAGTTAAAGGAGAACTGGAGTAGATATGCCAGTACAAGGATATAAATGTTTCATTCATAACTTTGGGTGTGTACCTGGTGGCCATTTGAGGTCTTTGGGCTCTTACAATGAGGTCACTACTGAACAGAATTGCTGCCTTCTGTTTCCTCTTTAAATGGATAGTCAAATTATTTCCTCATTAAATAAATTAGATCTTTTAATGACAGTCTTTGGGTAAAGCTATAAACAGTCTGTCTAGAAATCATCCTCCAGTTTTTCCCAAGAATGGGGGTGGAAAGGTTCCAACAGATTCCAGGCTATTCTCAAAAGTTCTTCAGAGCTGTGTGTGGCTGTGGCAGCTGCGGTCCTGGCTCCAGCACTGGAGAGGTTGGAGAGTGGGGCGTGAGTAGCAGTCAGCCCGGGCTCCGTGGTGAGCTGACGGTCCTCAGCACCAGGATCATTGTGAGCACTGAAAGAAGAACAGAAAAGTCAGTGGGGTTCTGTGTCTCCATTCTTCTGACCAACCAAGTAAGCTTGAATGTAAAGGGAAAAGAATAATTCCTTTATTTTATTTTATTTTTTATTTTTTTGGGGTCTGGTCGTGGGGCCTGAACTCTGGGCCTGGGCACTGTCCCTCAGCTCTTCAGCTCAAGGCTAGCGCTCTACCACTTGAGCCACAGTGCCACTTCCGGCTTCTTTCTTTTTTCTTATGTGGTGCTGAGGAATCGAACCCAGGGCCTCAGGCATGCAAGGCAAGTGCTCTACCACTGAGCCACCTTCCCAGCCTCGAATAATTCCTTTAATATGGTAATTTGCCTGTATTTATTCTTGCTCTTGATCTTCTGCTAATTACTGTTCCTGAAGTTCATATCAGAAAACAATATAATTATGGCTTTTACTTAAGGGTTAACGATTTTTTTTTCCTCCATGTGAATACGAGTAACAAGACAAAAGGTGATCAGGATGAAATGAATCTGCCTTGCCAAATTATTGCTGAATGTGTAATTCAGGTTTGCTTTCCTTTGAACCACGTAATACTACCAATTTCCTCAATGTATTTCTATTTTTTTCCTCTGTGTGGGTATGTATGTGTGTGCGCATGTGCGCACACGTGTGACCACTAAGCTGTCATGATCACATTGTTACCTAAACTGTACAGAAGTCTGAGATGCAAAGAGAGTGGGCCTTGTCTAATAGAAGGCTCGCTTTTATGCTTCTTACTGTGATCCCAGAAAAAAAAAAAATCCCAGTGCTGTGCTGTTTCTTGACATTTTATGCTTGCATTTAAACTTGAAATGTCTGAGAATGAGACAATCAGTAAAAATCAGAAATGAAAAGTGTTATAATTTAATGGCCTTGTTTTGCTGTAGCAATAAAATGACCAAGTGCAATGACTTAATAAAATCATCTTTTAAAAGTTGCTGCTATGAATATTTTTAGCTGTAAAATTTTCCTCTTTTGTCCTGACTTGCCTTCAATGAGTATTCTGTAATGCAGGTGATAGAGGTGATGTGTTGATAATCTAACATTCCAGAAAAACCCCAACATGTATGAGGAATCTCAGAATAATATTCTCATTTTTTACAGGTGCTCTTAAAAAAATGTTTCTCCCTCAAAAGGAAACATTTATAATAAAAAAGAATTGTTCAGTTGTGTCAGTCTTTCTTGGCATTCTTCACTAACTTCAGCATGTTTATTTTGACCATGATGAAAATTATATCACTTTGAATTTTCCAAAGAAACAAATAATGACTTGAAAAGCATTAAAAACCTCAAACCAGCACGACATATATTGCACCTTTTGAGTGTGTTTCTTCACCAGAAACTATTGTGTAAGGATTATAGGGACAGTTTAGAAAAATTAGGTAGAAGTGCTTGTAGAGTATATTATCATGAAGTCTGCTTAAAAAGGGAAGTTGGTATTCTACGTTTCAGAAGTGTTTCGTGGTGTTGGGTGTGATGAACTATTAGATGACCAAGATAAAGAGAAAGGAGGTATGGTACTCTCCCTCTGTGAGTGACCGCAACATCCCTGTGCGAGAGGCAGACACTCCGTTTCTGTACTGTTGACGTTTAGCCGTGACCAGCTTCTCGGTCCTACCTTCCTAGCCGTCCTGCCTGTTTCCTTTCTGGGTGAATCAGAAATGGAGATTTAAAAAATCAGACATACCTAATGCCTGCATGAGAACTTATTTTCTGTCACTTGGGAAAAACCTGATTTGAGAGAGCAGCAGATTAGAACGTAAGACGATGGAACCCAGGCCTGGAGAGACTTGGAGGCTGTCTAGTCATCCTGGAGCCCCGCTTTCCATGACTGGGCTCCGGGAGTACAAACTTGCTCCTTGGCTTGTTGGATTTCCGAACTCGGCTCCAAAAGTCCGTACAGAAAAGATAGAATTGGCGATGGCAGGGATTGGGCACTCGGCCCTGGGAACTATTCCCAGCATAGACACTGGGGCGAGAGGGTCCCCACGCACTCGTGTAAAGCAGTGTCCCAGGGACAAAGTGAGACTGCCAGAAAGCAGTGGCAAAGCAAGTCATTTCAGTTTCTGTAAAATGTTCATTGTGTGAACTGGAACAGAAGCCATGCAGGCTCATATTAATATGTTTTGAACAGTATAATTTTGATTTTGGGGGGGGCGGGCAGTCCTGGGGCTTGGACTCGGCCTGCATGCTGGCCCTGAGCTCCGCTGATGGCTAGCACTCTTACCACTTGAGCCATGGCTCCTCTTCCTGACTTTTTGGTGACTAATTGGAGATGAAAGAGTGGTGGACTTTCTAAGAGCGATGGACTTTCTTGCTGGGGTTGGCTTCGAGTCCAGTCCTTGGATCTCTGCCTCTTGAGTAGCTAGGATTATAGGTTTTTTGTGAGCCCCTGGCATCTGGCTATAATTGCAATGTTTATTTAAAGGAACATTGAAGATTGTCTGATGCAGCCTTGTGTAGATGGCTTTGTCTGAAGATGTAATTTTCAGATTCAGTCCTGTTTTCAGAAATAAGCAGCTAGCGATTCTGATCTAATGGGCTCTGACACTTTCCAATTAACATTCAAGAGAGACTAGGACTGTGTGTTGATTCTTTTCTGACTCTTAGCCATGAGTTTTATCATTAGCACCCTTTACTGTGAGTGCTGCATACAAGCAAGAAAAGGATGTTTAGAAATAGATATCAATGTTTTTTGTAGAGAGCCAGTAATTTTTTTTGTGGGGGGGTTGATTGTGGGGCTTGAACTCAGGTCCTGGGCACTCCCCTAAGCTTATTGTCAAAATTATCTCTACCACTTTGAGCCACAGCACCACTTCCTGGTTTTCCACTTAATTGGGGAAAAAGAGTCTCACACTTTGCCTTCCTGGGCTGGCTTCAAACCTCGATTTTCAGATCCCAGCCTTCTGAGTAGCTCCGCTTACAGGCATGAGCCACCAGGCTTGGCTCAGGAATTTATTTTAAATATAGAAGGTAATAGGGCTCTCATTTTGTAACTGTAAAGTACACACAGAGGAATGATTCTTTAGCAAAGGAAATAGTTTGTTAACATATGGTAGAGTATACTTTTAGAACATTGAAAATCACTTTGACAGAACAGTATTGATTTGTTGTTGCTTGTTTTGTTTTGGTGCTGGTCCTGGGGCTTGAACTTCAGGCCTGGGTGCTGTTCCTGGCCACTCTTGATCAAGTCTAGTGCTCTGTCGCTTGTTGAAGCCACTGTTAAAGTGGAAGGATTGTTTTGGTTCTTACCTGCCTGGACTGGCTTCGAACTGTGGTCCTCAGATCTCGGCTTCCTGAGTGGCTAGGAGGACAGGTGTGAGCCACCACCATCTGGCAATGATGATACTTTAATTGTCAGCCTTTTCCTTAAAACATACTGTAATAGACCAATAAATAGAGTAAAATTTCAAACAGCTGTGACAAAAACATTTCCCAAATGAAATAAGGAAACTAAAATTTAAATTACCACCCCCCCCAAACCCACCAATATTAGGTGATTTAGAACAAAACAAGGGAGTGGCCTGAGAGGAGATCTCTCCCAGAAGTACCCAGGCCTTTGCAGCACTTGCAGAATTCTTTGGAAGTTCCCTCTGATCAACTTTGGCCTAAATCATACAGGCCAGCAGAGAAACGTGGAGCCAGAAGAAACCACATGAATTTCAAGCTCTAGTTGAAGGCTGACAACCTGGAAGGGAGACAATGCTCTTTGAAGACTGCTTAAAGAAGAGGGTTTTAGATAAAGGTGAATTTGCAATGGGTTCCTCTTACTCATTAGGGCCATTCAGTGGTGAGTAATCAGATACAAAGATGTTTATGGTGGGCTGGGAAGGTGGCTCAGTGGTAGAGCCCTTGCCTGCGTTCATGAGGCCCTGGGTTCGAATCCTCAGCACCACATAAGCAAAAAGAAAAAAGCCGGAAGTGGCCCTGTGGCTCAAGTGGTAGAGTGCTAGCCTTGAGCTGAAGAGCTGAGG